AACCTTAGCCGTATCTTCGCAGGACTCGTTTCAACATCATCCTACGAGCATGTCTATTCTTCAGCAGCCATCTTTCGCGCTTGGTATCGTGCGTAGCTAAACTGGTGAAGAAAAAAGAAAAAATGAATTTGGTTACATGGAAAAGAACGAATTCCTCAGTTTTCCTGAATCGCTCCAAGATAGCCGTGGGTGAAATTGAGATTCAAGATTTGGGCTGAGTTTACAAAAAACTCAGGAAATGTTCATATCATCAGTGATTTATCTCTGCTCCAGCTGGAGTTCCATTACTCGACGGATGCTTTACACAGTTTCATTTGTCAAAAGTACCAGATGCTTCAATCGAAACGAGTACATGTGCGAAAGTATTCCGATGTTAGGGATGTAAACTAGTGTGCGATTTTATCAAGCAACCATATTCTCTATAGGCTCGCTGTTTTAGTCGTCTTCTTCATACCTGACCTGGGCTACTTTTTTGAGTTTGACGTAGGCTAGCTTGAGGTTAAAATCTTTTCTTGCGGTTATCCCGGTGGGCTTGAAGCGCTATAAAATAAACGTAGAGGTGCAAAGTGTACCATCAGTGAAAAGAAAAGGGAAGAAACTACCGTGAACTAAAAATAAGCGTTTCCTCGGTTTCAGGGTATTGGGTTGCTTTCATGAGGTGTGATGCTCATGAAAAGGTCTGCCACTGGTCTATCTGTGCTAGTCACATTATATTCCTCACGGACGAGCGCTTAGCAGAGCAAAAGTTCGAGCGATGACAAAGCGTTTTGTCATACCGGCATGGCTATCAAGATCAGGTGCTGTCCCGGCGATTGGCTTCCCTTCCCTCCAAAACCACCTTATGGGCACCAGACTTGTCTATTGACATGAAATTGCTGACTTTATCATCACTTGGCTATGCAAGACTGCGTGAGCCGAACAGATTCAATGGACTGGTCAGTACGGTCAATCCTCGGCTTTCATCGGTTTCAAATACTTTACGACCTATAAATAACCGTCACCCACACCTTTATGCTTTTGATTTCTGTAGTACATACCTGGTGCCACTTAGAAATTTTGTCTCAGTCAAACAAGTGAAAGAGGCATAGAGGGGTATTTGTATTTAGATGTTGAAATGGTGAAGTGACAAATTTTTGCGAGAAATTTTGAGATTTCCCTAATTTTGCCGACAATTTTCTCACTTCTTCGGATGTTTTCCTTTCCATGTCCTCCCAAAATACTATACTACTACGGCAAAACCTCCCTCCCATCCCCCCTTCCTCGCTCAACAACATAAAGTGATCCGCTCCCATCTCGTTTGGCTCGACTATACGGACCGTTGACCCACACTTTCGAATGGAATCACAATTTGTGGCACACTCCGTCAAGGTTAATCAAAGCTTAACGTTCAACTCTCCTTCATCGCAGTTCTCCACGATGGCCTTTCAGGAAGAAAATGAAGCTTCAAGGTTACACAGAGTTGAAAATGATTTTTTTTCAAGATTTTTAAGTCATTAAACTTCGAAGAACAGCGGATTTTTGAAGTTGTTACTGCGCTGATCGTTTACACTTATTTTTAGGATGTCGACATGTCCCAGTCTGTAATGGATGAGAGTGTTCTATTCGACTACAACGACGCTTGGCATGAGGTAGCGCATCAATTTATCACAGCTACCACTCTTGGTGCACTTTTCCCGTCGCTTTTCTTCGCTTGACGCATAACATCCGGAGCTTTCTGTCCGATTGCTGGCTGTTTATCGGACACATAAACATTAATTAAATTTCCCATCCATGAACAATGACGTACGAAATATGTTGTGAAGATGCTGACTTTCTAGGTGAATGGAGATGGATCAGGTAATCCGATCTCGACAGCTGTCGATCAGTACATGGAACAGGTCACCTTGAAACACCAGGTCAGTTCTAAGTGTGAATTCCACTTGATGGCCTCCTTTATGTCAAATTTCGTTCAGGAAGACAAGCAGGCAGCTCTCGAACGTCAATATGAAGCCTTCGAGCGCTACATTCAAAACCTGACGGCGGGCGGGTCAGTGGTTTTCCCTTTTTTGGCCGGCCTTCCGGCAGAGGGCAGAAATGATGCCACTGCGTAGAATGGAATGGAGCTCTAATCTGTCTGTGTATTTGCTGAGGCCTCGTTTTCGTTTAGCTTCACTCCATCGACACCAATGACTCCTGGATACGGTTTTGGAACGCCGCTTGGCACACCTGGATCAGCATTACCACCGTTCCCATTCCCTGCTAATCCCAAGCAAATGGTCCGCAGCAAATTCTTCTACTGGGCCCAGCGAAAGTAAGAAATGTTCCATGTGCTCTCATCTTCTCGCAGTGAGTCGTCTTTTTTAGGGAGGAAATGTTTGCTGAATCGTTGAAACGCCTGAAGAGTGACGTGATTCGCGCCAATGCTCTCACTCGTGAGGCGAACATGATCAGTCGTGAGCTTGGCAACAGTCGTCGTCAAACCACGTACGATGTCACTCTTCAAATACCAGCAGCAAACCTAAGGCCAAGCAAAATCAAGGTGAGTCCCAGTGTTGTTAAGAATTTTCGAAGGGAGGTAATGGCCGAGGGTGTGCACGCAGTTTTGCCATTTGAATAGGTTTATAGATAAAAGCAAATTTGCTAAGGTGCTCAGAGCACGCCTAGAAGACAGCCGGTCTCAATTCGTAACTATCAATAGCTTCTTACGGCGACTAGTAGTACCCATCGAGTCATTCTGAGGGACCGAATTTTCAATAATCCCCAATAGCTTCTATGCTCGTAAAACAGCAACAGCCGGTCAATTATATAGTTGGAGTGTCTTTCATAGATTTCCGCTTCCTGAACATTGTTTTCTGGTTTTTGAAGGCGACGATTACGATAGGTTCTGGAAAGGCTGAGAGACGTAATGGTGCTTGGCGGCACAAGCGACAACTGCGGACATTGAAGAAAGTGAGCGTGCGACAATGTGTTAGTCGCAAAGTCTGACGCTTGCCTCAGCTACGCATGTGTGGTTAGCCGACTAGAAAGGAGGGCTACACCAATGAGAGTCTCATCAATGCGTAAATCAACGGGCGAGGAAGGGGTCCCATTTTGGGTTCTCGGCCGTTTTTCACGTTTTTTTTATCACGGCACTTCTGACCACCTCTACTTTAATTCTGATGGGCTGCCTTCTAACCATAAAGCACGCTTTAAACCCTGCCCGCATGGATGCCAATCGTTGTTTAACGGCTAAGTGTCTAATAACTTGAGCAGCCGCAGTCACTTGATTTCTTGTAGAAAATACAACGTGTCCTTTCGCGCTGGAATTTTCTTCCTGTTACAGGCAGGAACATTTGTCTGTGAGCCAGTGATTGTTGTTCGCCGATCGGGCATGAGTGGAAGTCAATTGTGGACCGTGGCGCAACTGGAGAACAAACTAATCGATATGAGGGAAATGTATAATGATAAGATAAACGGTGTACCGAGGTGGGGAACCGTTTCAGTCTTTAGTGAAAGTGGCTATTTCAAAGAAACGTTGTCAGCGATTGTTTTACAGAGTACCATCATGTACATCAAGTCCTGAAAGCTCTCCCTCTCGCTCCCTACCTCCGTCATCTCCCGATGAAGTTATGATCGATCCATTTTTCGAGAGTCAGGTTCGTTTCATTTGAGTTCTCTGATAATAAACGAAAAGGCAACTTAGCGCATTGTATGAACACACTTCCGCAGGACGGCTGAGGGGAGGTGCACATACTTTTCGCAGGCGGCATAGGCGTGAAGTAAGGTACTCAACAACACAGAACGCACACGTTACA